TGGATGATGAGAGTGTCAGCAAGGCTGGTTCTTTCTCAGGGCTGTGAGGGTAAATCCGCTCCATGCTGCTCCCGGAGCTTCCGAAGGCAGTTGGCAGTCTGGTGTTCCTTGGCTCGTAGATGCATCACTACGGTCTCTGCCTTCAGCCTCACATGGCATTCTCCCTATGTCTCTCTGTGTGCAAATTTCCCCCCATTATAAAGACGTCTGCCATACTGGATTTCACGACACCGTTTTCACTTGATTATGTCTATAAAGATCTTCTCTCCAAATAACATCACCTTCTGACACACTGGGGGTTAGGACTCCAGCATATCTTTTGGGAGGGGAGCACAATTCAATCTGTGCCATTTGGTTACCCACCTGCTTAGAATTTTCCTGTGGTCTCTCACTCCTTTACGGCAAAACCCAAACTCTTTCCCACTCTTCCCCACCCCATGCCCTTCCCACATCCTGTTCCCTGTGACCAGGACCTTCCTCCCTAACGCCTCCTTCTCTCCAGAGTTCAGCCCTTCTCATCTTAGGGATTTAGCTTTGAGGTTTCCTGGGCTAGAGGCCACCCCCATCTCATTCGCTACCTCCCACCCACTTCTCCATAGCAGTTACCACACCCAGCTTATAGCTTTTGTAAAAACTGTCTGTCTGCCCCACTAGAATGTAAACTCCACAATAAGAAGCACAACATAGAAGCAGAAGCAGTAGAGGGTGACGATTTAAGGCAAACTCTAGAGTCAAGCTACCTCAGTCAAATCCTGGCTCTATACCTTTGGCAGGGCTACTTGGTCAAGTGCCTAAGACTTCATGCCTCAATTTCCTCATCTGTAAAGTGGGATAGAGAGCATTCCCCAGAAGGATTGTTAGACAGATAAGATGAGCTCACACTTGCAAAGCCCTCGGAATACTGCTTGTCACTCAGTTGGAGGGACATGAGCGTTAATAATAATCCTTGTATGAGGAGGGACTGACCAAGGCCATTTTACTCACCCCTGCGCACTCAGAATTCGGCAGTGCCTGGCTCAACAGATATTTGCCAAATGAACAAATTTCTGGTAAGCTCTATGTTGCTCACATAACTTCCTTTTTGTTTTTTAAGCTTTATCAGCAGCTTCTAAAAGGGGCCTAACTTATGCCATCCCTATGAATGAGGCTTGTGTCATGTGGTCTCCACCCCTAGAGAATGTCCCAGGGTCAGCCATCCCAGACTTGCTCTGGGGAAACCTCGTTTTTAAGAATAAAACATGGGGAAGCCTGGGTGGCTCAGTCAGTTAAGCATCCGACTTCGGCTCAGGTCAGGATCTCACAGTATGTGAGTTCGAACCCCATGTTGGGGTTCTGACAGCTCAGAGCCTGGAGCCTACTTTGGATTCTGTGCCTCCCTCTCTCTCTCTGCCCCTCCCCAACTCGTGTTCTGTCTCTCTCAAAAATAAACGTATATTAAAAATAATAGTAAAATGTGGTTCTTCGTGGCTAAACAAGGGTGAGAGTCTCCACCTCAGCTCCCCACCACAGAGCACTGAAACACAGACTCATGAGCTCACAGCTGCTGGTCCTAGGTGCTGGTCTATGTAGAGACCCCACGTCGGCCTCCAGAGCTGTGCCGCAAGCGACTCAAAGACCAGCATCCACGGGGTACGTTACTGTTTATCAAGGACTTTCCCAGACGTCACTCTATGGCACCAGAACTAAGAATGAGGCCTGATTAGAGCTTTTCAGGAGACCTTAAGCTGCATATCACCTTCTTGGGGGGTGGTGGGGAAAGCAACTAAGGTGAGGTTAGCAAAGAAACGTCCGGCTTCTCCAGACAGTCCACCCCCGACGCAGCCAGGGTGGAGGAGGGCAGGGAGTGCTTTAGGTCACCTCCCTCCCTCCTAGCATCCCCTCCATTCCTTCCTCTGATGCCACCATTGTTTCCGAGTAGAGTCACTGCTTCCGGCTGATGGATAGGGACCCGAAACAGGTGGAAGCAGACCAGGTCCCTAGACCCTAATCATGGGGTCCCGAGACTGAGAAATAGCACCCGTGGTCGCTACAGGTGGATTCCTTTCCCAGGTCAAGGGACGTGGTAGGAGGGGCAGGAACAGAGTCTGAGCTTACACTTGACCTCATACAGGGCTGCCCTTTGCAGCAGGTGCTTTTCAGCCCCCCTGGGATTTCCCCAGACAGGAGACATGATTTGTTCCCAGCCTACGGTCAGCGCGAGGGGACAAGACGTCCCGTGCAGGCGACGCGGGCCAGGGAGCTCCCCTCCTGCTCTGACAGTTCTCCAGCCTCCCTCCTTCTACTGACGCTTCTGGACTGTGAGGAGCCGCCGGCTTCCCCAGGCATGGAGTAGAAAGGTCCCCCTTCAAAGGCTGAGCCTCGTCGCCATGACAACTCGTGATGACACTTCTCCTTCAGTCTCCGGGAGAGCAGGACACCGGGCGTAAACTGTCACCTGCTCCCCAACCGCCGGCTTCTCTTCCCCGTTGGTCATGATGCCTCAGAACTTCCTGGTCTTTCCGGCTCCCTGTTCTGCACACCCTTTATCGTGCGGGTACACAACCCATGCCTTGTACAACGATCAATTTAGCGTAAGTGAGTTCCCTACCTACTGAGGAAAGTGATTACAGACTCACACGTGTATACTCATCCATTCATAAATATTTACCGAGGGCGGAGTATGTTCCAGATGCGTGTGAAAATTCTTAAGCACTAAAGGGACCAAGAATGGATTCCATCTCAAGTGCAGACTCTGATTCACTGGCAGTGAGTCCTGACAGCCGTGATGAGAAGGATTCTGAGGCCCTTTATTCTGGGCACAGAATAGAGAGTCTGTGACATTGCGATGGTGGCCAAATGACCCAGTGTACCTCGAAGAGAAGGCTTCCTCTGCCAGGGTTTCCCACCCCCATTCCCACCCTGCTGGCAGCCCCCGCCCCCCCCCCACAGGGGGTCATAAGCATATGGCATGCTCTCCGTCTACAGCCCTGCTCACATCTCCTTTTGAGAGGTCAGGAAAGTAACCGGGAGCTTCAGCGTGAAAAGCCCTGAGGGCAAAGTCCATGCCCACTGCCTCCACACTCACCACCGGGCCTCTCTCTGTCTGGGTCATATGAACTTGGAGCCCTTGGCCCACCCAGGATTGGAAGCGACCCCCCCACTGCCTTGTGGTGAGCTGTGCCCAGAGTCCAGGGGATTCTGCTGTCCTGAGAATCTCATGCCAGGCTCTGGTTCCCCTCACCTCCAACTGGAGCCTCCTGAACTGCCTTTACTTCTAGAACCTTGTACTGGGTCACATTCTTCCATTTGCCCCTGACCCTGTAGCTTCTGTTCTCCAGGATGAAATGCCCGTCCCTCCCTCCCTTACCCTCCTTCCTTTCCTTCCTTTCCCTGGCCTGGGCTCTGGGCCATCAGCCCACAGGGCAGCCGGTTCCGGTAGGTGGGCTGTGACTGCAGGGTGAGCACCAGGGAAACAGGGAGCAGGAAACCCATAGACACCAGAGGCTCCAAGCCAGCCTGAGAGAGGCCGGGAGGGCTGCCCAGGGGAAGTGGCACCCCAGAAAAGAAGAGGGAAAGAAAATGAGGACAGGACCAGAAAGAAGAATTCCTCGTTGAAGGAACAGTACACACAAGAACAGGAAACGATGTGGAGTTAGCTAGAGAATAGATGGGGAGACAGAGAGAGAGAGAGAGAGAGAGAGAGAATGGCTTCCAACGAGGCAATGGGGCCATGTTCAGGATTCAGTACTTTATCTTGAGACCCTGGGGTCCACCTGGTTCAAATCTCAGCTCCGCCACTTAGTAACCCTGTGACCCTAAGAAATTTTATTAATCTCTCTTGTGACCGGCTGCTTCTTCCATAAAATGGGGATAACAGAGAGTAGCAGTTTCACGGGGTTAGCATGAAGAAGAAATAGCACGGTGCCTACCATACATCAGGCACGCAGCACACATTAGCTCTTTTCCAATCTGGACAAGCAAAGCACAGCAAGGGTGGAGAGGAGTAGGAGATGTCCAGAAATGGACGGGATCCAGCCATCCTTGCTTCAGATTAGCTCCTCTCCTCTCCAGCTTCCGTCTTAATCAGGAGCCCACTCTTTGTCTAGAGCCCATCTCCTCTTGGCAAGGGATTTAGTCCCCACCCCAGATTCCGGCACCCTGTGTGGATCCCTGGACCCTTCACACATGATGACGAGAGGCTCGCCCGGCGTGAGGACCCCAGGGGACCTGGATTCAGCAACCAGAGGCCCTGCAGCAACCCATGACTCGTCCCTCCAATGACGACTGACTTCGCCCCGGTGGCCCACACCGTGTGAGACACTGGCATCAGCGACCAGTAAGGTCCCCATCTCCATGCAGCGTCCTTCCCAACCGGGGAGACAGACAATAAATGCATTAACAAACAATAATGACAGGCTGGGATGGGTGAGCGCGATTTGCGAGGGTGAAGAGACAGAGGCTTAGGGGACCTCCTGATAGGGCACTCAGACATGGTCTGTGGCGTGGTGACAGTGGGTCAAAGCTGGAACGTGGGAATGGACAGGCCATTTGAAGAGCCGGGAAATGATACTCCAGGCAAAGGAAACAGCAAGTGCAAAAGCCAGAGGTGGGACAGATGAAACAAAGGCCAGCGTCCCTGAAGGATCGTGAGCAGAGGGTGGGGAAAGGCGGGAGTGTGGTCCAGGCACGGGGCTGTCTCCTTCTGGTGCTGATGGAAAACTAAGGGCCAGGGCCGATCTGAAGCAGGGGAAGGATACGAGTGACTCATAAAACCAGATCGTGAGTTCTGTGAGTTCGGGACTTGGTTTTCTTGTCACCCTAGCAACGGATTGGATTTTGGTAAAAGCCTCTCCGGTGGTCTATGGAGAACAGACCAGAAGGAACAGAGGTGGAAAGCTGGGCCCTCCCCGCCAAGTCTATCCGAGAGCCTGTAATATAACACCTTCTCATCAAACACTCAAAGCTTATTTTATAAGAAACAGAGAGTGAAGACATCCCCTTGTATAAGCTCCATAACTCACATGGACCAGACGTCGATCTTGGGGCCATATTTCTTCCTGGCAAGAAGTTCGGGCGCAGCGTAAGCAGGACTACCACACTGTGTGCTGAATGGGTCCGAGTGGCCCAGGATCCCTGCACAGTTGCTCAAACCAAAATCTGCAAAGAGAGGAAGACAAAACCAGCTCCGGGTGAGAAAACTGTGAAAAAGAAGAAAAATACAAAACACACACACAAAAAAACAAAAAAACAAACAAAATCCGGGGGGCGGCAGGAAAGGAAACATGCTCTCAGGCGAGCACGTCGATTAGCCTCCCAGAGGAAAACCAGCAGCTGCCGACCACAATCTCGGGATGTGGGCCTCCAGACTGGAAACAGTTTACAGCGGGCCTCACTGTAAAATCCGGCTAGAGCTGCAAGTATGCTGAACCAAAACAGATTTTCATCAAACCTCGGAAGTGAGTCATCCAGGAAAAAGAGAGGCTTTGCTTTCTAGGACTGAGGCGGGAAGCGAGGAGCTGAGGCCGTGGAGGCAGCAATCTGGCTTCCCAGGGGTCCACGTGGGGAAAAGCTGAAGGAAGATCCATTTTCTCTGGCTGGGGTCAGAGTCACCCCGGGTGACATGCGATTCCCACCATTTAGAGTTGACTTGTTCGGCTCAATGTTTTCATTTCGTGCAAGTCCCTTAAAAATGCCCCCATGCCTGTGGCAGTCTACGGGGATTGGAAGAGGGGGAAATAGGGGCGCCTGGGTGGCTTAGTCGGTTAAGCGTCCGACTTTCACTTAGGTCATGATCTCGCGGTTCGTGGGTTCGAGCCCCGCGTCAGGCTCTGTGCTGACAGCCAGCTCAGAGCCTGGAGCCTGTTTCAGTCTGTCACTCCCTCTCTCTCGGACCCTCCCCTGCTCACGCTGTCTCTCTCTCTCTCCTAGAAATAAATAAAACATTTAAAAAAAAAAAAAAAGGAAGAGGGGGAAATATACGCACCCAGTGATTTAGAAAATGTTACACATTGGCTGGAAGACTAAGGCCAGGAAGACAGCAATGAGAACTGACTAGACTAAGCCACCTCACTGCCGTGTTCGTGGATGGTTCAGGCAACGGGAGAAAGCACAGAAGAGCCCACTGAATCCAAAGCGACGCTGGGTCCAGCAAGCCCTTGGTTTTGTGCTTACTTTCTTGAGCCTAAGGATACAGCATCTGACAGGTAATCAGAGCTGCCAGTCTTCTGTCCTCATCTGATATCCTTCCTCAATCTCTGCTGTTCCCAGAATTAAAATCATGGTTAAGGGGCCCCTGGGTGGCTCCGTCGGTTGGGCGTCCGACTCCTGATTTCTGCTCAGGGCGTGATCTCACGGTTTATGGGTTTGAGTCCCACATCGGGCTCTGCGTTGACAACACGGAGCCTGCTTGGGATTGCCCCTCCCCCACTCACATTCCCTCTCTCTGAAAATAAATACACTTACAAAAAAAAAAAAAAAAAAAGGATCATGGCTTCTCTTTCAACTTCAATGTAAATATTATGGTTAGAGTTCCCCAAACAGGAGACGCTGCCCACAGGGCTCAGTGGCCAGAGACTGGCTCCATGTCTTAAACAAAACCCTGTACTTCTCAACCAGCAGGACTTCTATCTAATTTCATTCCTGTGTTTTCTCCTTGACAAACGTGTCTCTACCTGCAAAGCACATGACTGTTGTGAAAGCTCAGGAAAAGGGGACCGCAGGACGGGGGCGTGAAATAACTGTGAGGCCACCAAGTGACTCACCCCACGGGTCAAGAGGCACCACCAGAAACTCTCCCGACAGGCGCTGGCGTGGGCTGTATAATGAAACAGCGTTCGCAAAGAGAACCCCTGCCAGGCAGAGCTCAGAAACTTCTTGAAGGCTCTGGGCTTGAAGATGAAGAATGAGACTCTGCCCAGGGATGCATGTGGACACACTGAACGCTTCCTTCATTTTTGTTTTTTATGATTATATTTTTGATCTCAGGACTTCCTTTTGCTCCCTACTCCTCCACCCTTACCCTCACCCGGCCCTCATTTCCTTCCCGCGCCCTGCCCAGCCCATACCCATAGATCCCCCATAGCCCGCCCTTCTAGAGCCACGGGGCTCCTGGCTTCCCTGTGCAAGAGAATCCAAGAGCCCCTGTTCTCAGGCCTTTTTTCACGGACACAGGAAAAAAAGGAGGGGAGGGGAAATATTTTTGTAAGAGGAAAAATCGTAGCGTGCTTGAAATTGGACAGCGGCTTAAGTGCTCTGGGTTTATAAGTCAACCTAAAGGAATTTTAATGAAACAACAGATGCGTAAAAAGCACCATGGAATAAAGGTCATATCGTTCGGGGCAACATTTTAAGGGGCGTTTCCTAAACAGTCACGTCAGAGGCCCAATCTCCTAGGAGTCCCATAAAATTTATCTCTAGATTTCTGACATGAAATCAAAAGACTCCGTGTCTACTCTCAACGGGGTTCCGTTGCCTCATTCAGGTCATTCCCTCAACTCCTCCACTGAGGTCTGTAAAGAGCTGCTTGATACCAAGAGGGCAGGGCGAGATAAGAGACGAGGTCACTGGCCCCCTTCTTTGCTCCCAGGCGAGCTTGAGAACACAGTGTCTTGCGGTGTCTGAAGCAAAGTCTCAAGAAGATAAATTGGCAGAGGATCTGGGGAGTGGAGGAGATAAAATCTGCATTTTAAATGACTTAGTGTTACCCTAGCTGGAAGGCATTCATTTAAAAATATATTGCAGTTGGGGCACCTGGGTGGCTCAGTCGGTTGAGCGTCCAACTTCAGTTCAGGTCATGATCTCGAAGTTCATGGGTTCGAGCCCCACGTCGGGCTCTGTGCTGACAGCTCAGAGCCTGGAGCCTGCTTTGTATTGTGTCTCCCTTTCTCTCTGCCCCTCCCCCGCGGGACTCTATCTCTCTCTGTCTCTCCAAAATAAATAAATGTTAAAAAACAAAATTTTAAATATAACAAAATAAAACACATTGCAGAGAAATAACCGGTCCTTTTCACACGCATAGGCTAATTATTAAAACGTTACACATATGTTTGTAATTGCAATGGAGAATCTAGAGAGAAGCCTGCCTGCTGGTGTGTCACACGGCTCTGCCTCAGTGAGATCTGGGAAACACATATAAGCGAACTGTCTTCAGTTTTCCGAGGGCTCCGTAACGAATCTCTCAGAATGCCCGCATGAACGCTGCTACACAAAACCCTTCTCAGCTGGGGCTTTTCCATTTTCACCTAAACCGTCACACCTCAGACTGCTTTTTCAGAAAGAAAAAAAAAATCTGGATGACATCAGATCTTTCTCCCAGCTAGCTCCAGTTCATTTGAAATGCAGAGGACGTGGCTTAAGTACATTTATTTAAATCAAATTACTTCAAAGAGGGGAAACGATTAGGGGCAAATGGAAATAGCTGTAATCCATCTTTGAAAAATAACTAGGTAGTTCCTTTGAAGAAAAGGTTCAAGAGCTTTCAAGCTGCAAAACGGTAGTTATAGAAACATTTGATCCAAATGGCCCAACTTGGTGGGGGTGGCGGGGAGGGAGTGTAGGGAGGCAAGAAAACACAAGAGACATTGGGCCTTCCTTCCCTCCAGCATCTGCCATTGCTACCTTGGTGACTGACCCATAGAGAAAATACCAGGAAATGAAGATACTGGCGAACTCCAGGCAATGCCCAGTGGCCCTCAGGGTACTATAATGTCCGTTTTGGTTACAGATGTGAGCCATCACATCCTCTTATTCGGACAGGTCCGCCCGAAGAGGGTTTGTTAGGCGGCCAGTCTGCGAGCTACTTATAAACACATTCTCGTTTACGGAGATTGGTTCTTCCAGAACCTTCTGAGCAAACTTCCAACCAATTAAAATAGCTGTGCTTTTCAACACTGTTCATTCCACAGCACATTTCTAGTTGTATACACGATCATCTAGGGCAATCACTTGAGGAGGGAGCAAGCCCAGAGGGGAAGAGAGGTAAAAGGGAAAGGAAAGAAGCTATAGGTAGTGCCAGGGGTCACTCCCTGGTGACAGGCATCTTGCTAGAATTCCCAGCCCCGGTCTAGCCGACGCGTGGTAGAAGGGAGTTATTTGAACTTTTATTATAATGTACACCTGTCTTTCACGTGGCCGGTTTGCAAACAATCTGCTGCTGTTAGGGTAACTCTGTGTCTGTCGCCTCCACATTTTCTGAAGATGAGTTACAGGTCAGCCTCCCAGACAACCTAAACGATCCGCTTTCCTCCTTCCCTCACCCCCCACCAGGACAGGCCTTTGCTTAATGCCACAGATCCCGGAAACGAGGACCAGAAGGTCATCCTGCAGACATGTCAGCGTCTGTCCTGTGGAAAGCTTCTGTATTTGACCTTCAGGACAACTAAAGTGTAACAGTGAAACAATATGATAAAGAGCTAATTCTTTGAATTGTCCATTTTAAGGAATATCATCTTTAAAATCTTTGGGGGGGGAATTTTTAAAAAGGGTTAGTTTCCTAACGATCCGTATATTCATTCGTTAACACCTGACAGTGGTGGTTAACCCCCCCCCCCCCCCCCCCCGCCAAGGGGTCCAGAGTCCCAGCAGCCTCTTGCCTATTTACCAGGTTTGGGGAGCCAACGGTGATTCCGAAGAATCTAAGTGGTTATTTGAATGATATGTTTCGGAGAGTCTAGGAAGGGATTTCAGTGTTTGCCAAATAAAATCTCCTTCTTGGGTACGAAAGTTAAATTCACAGCGTTCTATTGATCCTTCTCTTTTCCTCCGAATCTAAAGCCTTTCTCAAGCCACTGAGATGGAAGAAATTACTTGCACTTGAGGTGGAAAAAGAAAGAAAGTGCGGGACAGATGATGGCGCTAACATCTGGCTGTAAAAATGATGCCACGAGCCTTTTGCCAAGAGCAATCATACGGGCAAACAAAAACGGAATTCTTCTAGAAAATGAGTCATGGAGTGAACTCACTTACGGACTCACTTATGAACCAATTATGACTCACTCTATCCTGGAACTTCCTTCTGATTACCTTCCTTCTAAACCCCCTCTGTGGGGGTTTCTCTCTGCCCAACCCCCTATAAAATGGGGCTTCGATACAGATCATAATAAAAACGGAAGGTTAGTGGAGCCCACTTTTATTCAGCACTGCTATATTCATTGGAAAGTGAATTAAGCCATGGCTAAGCTAAGAGTAGTACTTCTGAACTAAACACTATTTTTCACTGCTTTAAAGAAGTTTTATGGTTAATCCAAATAAAAATGGCCCCTCTAAAAGTTCAGATCTATCTGAATTTATGCAAAGCTGAACTCTGAATAATCCCAAGAACACATAACCAACAAATACTTATTTGCAGCTGTGAAATCATTTTATGGTCACGTTACAGTACATCTACCTTCCTAATTGTGTTTACTGTTAAAATTAATTTTCATTTTCAAAACCACTATTAAATATTAGAGGTAAAGAGGTGATCAAGAGTATGGTTTGGGATTAGAAATAAACTATGGATACTTTTCAAAGTTGATTATCCAGGGGCGCCTGGGTGGCTCAGTCGGTTGGGTGGCCAACTTCAGCTCAGGTCATGATCTCACGGTTCGTGGGTTCGAGCCCCACGTCGGCTCTGTGCTGACAGCTCAGGGCCTGGAGCCTGCTTCAGATTCCTTGCCTCCCTCTCTCTCTGACCCTCCCCTTCTCACACTGTCTCTCTCTCAGAAATAAATAAAAAACGTTAAAAAATTTAAAAAAAAAAGTTGATAATCCATCAGTAAATAACTGAGAATGGACAACACAACACAAAAAGAATAATCTTGCTTAAAAATAAAAAAAAGTCATACAGAGGATATCTGGATGGCCCAGTTAGCCAACTCTTGAATTCAGCTCAGGTCATGATCTCACAGTTCGTGGGTTCAAGCCCTGTGTCGCTGACACAGCACAGAGCCTGCTTGGAATTCTCTCTCCTTCTCTCTCTGCCCCTAACCCACTCATGCTCTCTCTATCTCTCTCTCGAAATAAATAAATAAACTTAAAAAAAAAATTTTTTTAAAAGTCATACCAATCAGCTTGATATTATTGTCTTCATCCAGTAGCAAATTTTCTATCTTCAAGTCCCTGAAATAAACAAAACCACAGCATATTTCAGATAGGCATTTGAAATAGTGGCATAACACTTTCCTTCTGAAGGGAAACGAACCATTTTAGAGCTGCTCTGAACCAACCCAACACGCTCTCTGCCAAAACTCACACAAGCAGTAAGTAAATATTTATAAACATCATATAATTAATTGCCACAGGCTGAAGAAGCCAAAGGGTTTCAGAAAAGCAGAGAGCACTGAGGGCAGAGCACATCACGGGAAATTTCCGGAAGAAGTGGGATCAAAGCTGAAACTTGGAATTTAAACAGACGAAGTTGGAAGAGAGTGGAAGACGTCATTCATGAAAGACAGGTGCTGTCGGAGCAGAAAATACACATGTGGCCACATGTTTGTGAGACAGTGAGCAACACCAGCCAGGGTAAGGAACAGATTTGGGGAAGCTGCTAAAAAATATATCTTGGGGCACCTGGGCGGCTCAGTCGGTTGAGTTCAGGTCATGATCTCACGGTATGTGAGTTTGAGCCCCGCGTTGGGTCTGTGCTGACAGCTCAGAGTCTGGACCCAGCTTCAGATTCTGTGTGTGTGTGTGTGTGTGTGTGTGTGTGTGTGTGTGTGTGTGTGTTTGTGTGTGTTTGCCCCTCCTGTGTCCTCGCTCTCTGTCTCTCTCTCAAAAATAAATAAACATTAAAAACTTTTTAAAAAAATATTTAAAACTGACATAATTTATCAGTCCTACAAACTCCATGCTTGGAGCCCAAGTGTCATTCACAAACTGGAAGGTAAGAATAATCTACTCAAGCAAGCAGGTATGTGGTGGGCAGAAAAACAGACTCCAAAGATGTCAGGGCCCTAATCCCTCATACTATGCTTGAGTAAATGTTAACGGTTACATGCCCAAAGGGAATTAAGTTTGCAAATGGAATGAAGATTGTTAATCGATCAGCGGGTGACTCTGATCATTAACACTGAGGGTGACTTGAAGAGGTGGAAGGGAGAAGTGTATTCAGAGTCATGTTGAGTGAGAGGTGCCTGCAGTATCTGAGCTGGCCGACTGTAAGCTCCCAGAGGGCACGGAACATGTCTATCCTGCTTACCACTGTAACCCCAGTGCCTTTGCACTTCCCAGGTACTCAGTCAGTATGAATGAATCCACATTACCAAAGAGATTGCTTTGGATTTCAGAAGAAAAAAATGGGGGCAAAAGTATACATTGCGTCATCAAAACCACTGAGGTCGATGATTACAGCCTAAGCATCTTTAAGTTCTAGCCTGTCAACTGAGACACACCTTGAGTATTAGATATGTAAGACTATTCTTCTTTTTTACACACACACACACACACACACACGCACACACGCTCTATTCCACTGTTTTGAAACACATAGCATTCTTGGTTCAGTTTTTGTTTTTCCGACTTTTGAACAGAGGCACAGGCAAAAGCAATCTCCCTTCCTCATATCTCTCCCAAAAGGAATAGAATAGCATAATCGTGATAAGCAAAAACAGCAACCGAGAACACTACGTCAAAGTTGTGAGACAAAAGGGAGCATTTGCTAGGACTTTTGGTAAACGGGAGAGCAGTGTCCCATTTAACGGGGACAGGCACTCACAGCTCGGTCCCAGCACCACCAGCTCATTCTTTTCTCCAAGAGAAGCTAGAAATCTGGACTTCATCCCACTTTTTGTTGGCAACAAATTCACATTCAAAACTGTAACAACTACATTGCATGGGCCGAACTTGCAGGCAAGGTACGTCTGGCAAACTAGCAATTTTCAACCTCAGTCCAGGAGCTGAGCCTTGGAAAGGACAGGCGATTGCCCAGGGAGGGGATGCAGGGGGGGCGGGGGGGCAGGGCAGGTGGAGTAGAGTGGGGCGGGGGGGCGGTGAGGAGAACCAAGAACAGCACACTGGTGGAGGGAGCTGGGAGGTAAAGTCCGGGACACTGTTGTCACAGGAACTAGAAAGGGAAGCATTTCAAGATGGGAGAAAAGGAGTCAAGTGAGGAAAAAAGGTGAGTTCTGTAAATATCCAACATCTTTCAAAACTGGAAGGTGGGGGGCGCCTGGGTGGCTTAAGTCGGTTAAGCGTCCGACTTTCGCTTAGGTCATGATCTCGCTGTTCGTGGGTTCGAGCCCCGCGTCGGGCTCTGTGCTGACTGCCAGCTCAGAGCCTGGAGCCTATTTCAGAATCTGTATCTCCCTCTCTCTCTGACCCTCCCCTGCTCACGCTGTCTCTTTCTCTCTCTCTCTCTCTCCTAGAAATAAATAAAAATATTTAAAAAAAACAAAAAAACAAAAAAACCCTGGAAGGTGGCTGGTAGCCTGAGGGCCGGACACTCGGATGAGAAGCGCAGTCTGCTTTGAAACCTCTAGCGAGGGCATATGGATAACCCCCCAGCCACATGCACCCACCAACGGGTGGAAGAACTGGACTCTTTTGCTTCAATCCAGTGGAAACAATGCACAGACTATATAAAACCTATGTCAGCCTCTAGAAGGTATCATGGAGGGGCGCCTGGGTGGCTTAGAAGGTGAAGCGTCCAACTTCAGCTCAGGCCATGATCTCACGGTTCATGGGTTCCAGCCCCATGTCAGGCTCTTGCTGACAACTCAGAGCCTAGAGCCTGCTTTTGATTCTGTGTCTCCTCTGTCTCTGCTCCTCCCCTGCTCATGCTCTGGCTCTGGCTCTCTCTCTCAAAACTAAACATTAAAAAACATTTTAAGTTACCATGAAGGGGCATCTGGGTGGCTCTGTTGGTTAAGCGTCTGACTTTGGCTCAGGTCATGATCTCATAGTTTGCAGGTTCGAGCCCCGCGTCGGGCTCTATGCTGACAGCTCAGAGCCTGGAGCCTTCATTGGATTCTATGTCTCTCTCTTTTCTGTCTCTGCACCTCCCCAACTCATGCTCTCTCCTTCTCAAAAATAAATACATTAAAAAAATTTTTAGGGGCGTCTGGGTGGCTCAGTTGGTTAAGTGTCCGACTTTGGCTCAGGTCATGATCTCACGGTTCATGGGTTTGAGCCCCGCGTCGGGCTCTGTGCTGACAGCTAGCTCAGAGCCTGGAGCCTGCTTCAGATTCTGTGTGTCTCTCTCTGCCCCTCCCCTGCTCATGCTCTGTCTCTGTTTCTTAATAATAAATAAATGTTAAAAAATAAAATAAAATAAAATTTTAAACATTTTTTAAAAAGGTAGCATATATACCCAAATGCAGGGTGACTCCAAATATAATGTAATCTCCCCCTCATTTTTCCAATGGGAAGCCCCTGTTCCTCAGATAAAGGGTTTTGGAAAACACAAAAATGTCATTTTTAAACATGCAATGGATTTATCAAATGACTATTCTACTGATCTACAAAGCTGCATCATCATATTTAAGAGCATATAACATAATGTTAACTTCAGAAATACTGTTTTTATACCCTCCCATCTTATGAAACAATTTTATTGAAACCTGACAGTCAGGACTGGGATGACAGTCTTCCTTCAGTGTTACCAGGGTCGCATGATCTTAGAGTAGACTGGATGTTTTGAATACTGAGTGGTAGTCTCAGCACAGCCAGTGAAATAATAAGCACCCGTTTAAAATTTCTATAAATTAACAACTTAGTGAATTGTTTTTAGAGTTGTCTCAAACCCTTACAACTATGAGGTTATAACCCTAAAAGTTATTATTAAAGCCGTTGTAAAATGCCCTGGCCTCCCTTTCTCTCTGTTTCCTCGGATGACTTCTTTTTTTTTTAATGTTTGTTTATTTTTGAGACAGAGAGAGACAGAGTGTGAGCAAGGGAGGGGCAGATAGAGAGGGAGACAACAGAATCTGAAACAGGCTCCAGCCTCTGAGCTGTCAGCACAGAGCCCCACGCAGGGCTTGAACCCACCAACCACAAGATCATGACCTAAGCGGAAGTCGGACACTTAACGGACTGAGCCAACCAGGCGCCCCACCTCAGGTGACATCTAAAGCTCCCAAAGTCCTAAGTGAGTCCAGGTTAATGTGTCTTTTCCAGCCAGTACTTTGTTGTTGAAAATTAGACACTTACTCTTTTCTGAAGAGTAGGACATGATCCAATTTGACCTTATATTCAAGCAAGTATGGTAATTGCAAAAAAACTGTGCGCACACACAGAACAGGGGGCCAGCAATCGCCCAAAACCGTGATCCTGTGCAAACTTGATTATAAAGCAGCAGTGCTATTTAAATCTAAAGGAAAGCCACAGTTTGTTTCCAGCGAAATTAAACCTCTTTCCCTGGAAAGAATGGAAGCCACACTAAGGCATTAAAGGAGAAATCTGGTTCAGAACATACACTACGGAGAAAAACAATTGAAAGAGGTGAGGTATAAGAAAGCAACTGCCGGGAATTCTAAAGCTAAGCTAGATAATTCTGAGACCACAAAAGCCTAGTGAACAACCACAACGATGAGAATGATATAAATGGAAGACTAAAAATAAGAAAAAATGCAAAAGAGAAAAAAATGCCCACTTTTGAAGTAGGGAAAGTGTCATAAAACCGGGGGAGGAAGTAAAAAATGTAATTATTAGGCAAAGTGAGGAAAATAAAATCAATTTTCATTTCTACCCACCGCATCCCACAGTACCTACCCCAGCCCTTGGGACAAATGTCCAGAACAAATCTGTTACTAGGCTGTTTACCCATTTATTACCCTTCTGTCAATGTTTCTAAATGTGTCTCACTGCTTAAACATTCCATGACTAAAGGTGAGCTACATTAGTCTCTGTTCAGGAAATGAGTGTACCTAATCTCCCCAAATGAAAGGAACATTCCACAGCTTCTGGCTTCATCTATGTCTACCTCCTGCCTTGTCTTGAAATATATCTGGAAGGAGGGGGAGACTATTTTCCTTCTGTTCAGGAAAAAAGGCATGAAAATCATGCTTTTAAAAGTAGCTTTTGCATAGGTATTTACCCAAAATAGTCAAAAACTTATATATATTTTTAATTTTAGAGAGGGAGAGTGAAAAGAGGAAATCTTAAGCAGACTCCATGCTCAGCAT